CCAAGAATGAACCAGAACTAATGTCAGATAGAAATATTTAGTATAACCAATTTGGATGTTTGTTTTCCCGTGCCTTTTTCTGACTCTAGAATCATTTCACAAACCAAGACAGGAGAAATCAAGATCCTGCGACACACAGTCACTTGTGTTGTGCCCGATAGAGCTTACCACTTAAAAGGATGAAACTCTGTATATCTCCTATCCTCAGAATAGTATATTTTCCTCGATGGGAAATACGCTGATGGGAAATACACTTCAACTAAGTCGAAGGAAACCATCAACTGCTTCTTTTCCAGCTGTCTTTCTGATGTCATCAGTTTCTATGGAACTCCAACTGAGGTCACCATAATCCACTGTTAAATGCTGTGGTTTGCTGTAGTGAAGGGCCAGCTGCTTAGGCGGCCCTTCACTCAATAAGATGAATGAGTGTAAACCAATGTATTTGTTCATTCAGCATATTCAGAAAAGCATTGGTACAGCATGCTTTCAGAACTGACTGGCAGGCAGTGCCCCCACAAACCAGTACAGAAATGAACTGTGAATGAGTGAATGTGACTTTATTTCTATCCCGCCCTATCTTCCTCAGGGGATTCAGGGCAGATAGCAACATACAGAGAGGTAAACATTCAATGCCATATAAAGATGCAAAACAACATAAACAAAAACCCAATTTACATTCACACAAGCAACTACAGCTCAGGATAGACCCATTTTTTATTTACCATGTCTAGACCAACAACACATGTGACATTTCTTCACCAGAAAAGGGTTTGATCTTATTCTGTGGAAATATTATCATTTGAAGTAATGTTTAAATCCTGGAATCATGATGTCAGGATCCAAATCTCAATGGATTAGGCCCAGAGGTGGACGAACAGACGTTTCCCCATAGGAAGTAGCTTCTTGGCTATTTCATCCCACAACAGCCCACTGCTCCCACACTAAAATTGGTTCCAGGGTGTAAGGAACATTCTAGATTTGCAAGTCCAGGATACTGAAATCAAAGGAACGTAGTAGGTGGACAAGTGCCTTTCTAGTCAAGTAAGACAGCTCTGGATTCACATCAGTGTATCTTGTCCAAATATTGACATTGGACTTCTTCCTCTTGAAAGTTAGGCATGAATGAAGTGATTTAATTTTGTTTCAGTTGTGTCACTATTGAATCAAAATATTAGATTTTGGTGATCAGATTGCTTCAAATACATTTCACCAGCTTTTCACAATAAAGGGGTGACATGCATGTCATCTGACACCCAAGACAGGTAATCTGATTATTAATCCTCAATTCTGCTTGGGGCCAGGGGCACCACGACACCAAACTGACATCAGAAGTGACAACATTTCTATTTTCATGTTTGCCCTTTTCACATTTGTGTTGGTTGTACATGTACCAAGGGAACAAAGTTGCTATATTTTGCAGTTTTGAGAGTCTGGGTCCATCTGGGAATGTCTCTTTTTAAATTGCTTGAGTAATTTAAGGGGTGTTTTGAGCTGGATTCAACAGCTGCCAAATGGGTATAAGGGGATTCATGTAACCCCCATGACACATTTTCCTCACACCATTGTGATCAGCCAGGCATGAAATTTGTTGATAGTTGAATAAACATATTATTCTTGTTATTGTTTTTCCACTGTGATGTATCAGCTCATTATAAAATAAACAAAGTCATACAAATAAAAGTGATTTTTTTCTGTGTGTTGCACATCTAATCAATTCAGCTTTGAAATTTAATTATTAAATGGTGCAAGAAATACAAGGGTTGGTCACGAAGTCTATCCCATGAGGGATAGAAGTTAGAATAGATTAGTATAGCCAAGATGTAGAATTATAACAATTTTATAACACTTTAACTACCATGGATAAATGATATAGAATCCTGGGATTTGTAGTTTGTTGTGGCACTAGAGCTCTAAATAGCTAACAAATCAACAAATCGCAGGATTCTATAGCATTGAGACATGGCTGTCAGTCATTTCAAAATGCTATAATTCTGCAGTTTGGCTACTAAGTGTCTTCTCTACAACATAGGCAATCTGAAACAATGGGTTGTTGTAGGTTTTTCGGGCTGTATGGCCGTGTTCTAGAAGCATTCTAGAAGCATTCAGAGGTTGTGAGGTCATAGACAGACCTCACAACATCTGAGGATGCCTGCCATAGATGCAGCAAAATGTCAGGAGAAAATGCTTCCAGAACATGGKCATACAGCCCGAAAAACCTACAACAACCCAGTGATTSCAGCCATGAAAGCCTTRGACAGTAKGTCAAACTAAAACAGTTAACAGCAGTGCACTTTCTGTTTTTGTTATACTTAMAATTGTATTTGATTCAAACATATGTCTTAAAAAACATGATCAGAAATATTTTTTAAAGGTGACACTATAATTCTCCATTGAGCTAAGAAGCTCTCCGGTTGTTTTCTATCATAATTTTTGGTAACCTAAATTTAGGTATTAGTTCCAACGCACATAGACCCATAAAATCAAGGGCATTTACATAGGTGTCGACACTGTTGTTTATGTCTTCATATCATTTTCGAGTTTTGTTGACCACATCGGAGGGAACWACCAGTAAACACATCGGAGGGAACAACCTTGGAAAGAGTTGTTCTGAGGGGGTCTACCATGACCTTCCTTTGAGACAGGCTCTCTATCCCAGGATATGTTCCCAGGTTTTCTGCTTCAAAGTGGATTATATGAGTCTGCACTGCCAGATAATCTGAGATAAACAGAAAACCTGGGATCAGATCCTGGGCTAGAGGACCTGTCTGGAAAGACCCTGAGACAGTATTTATTAATTATTTATTTATTTCGGTTACTCCTACCCCGCCCTTCTCACCCCGGAGGGGACTCAGGGCAGCTTACAAAGGCACAATTCGATGCCGGCATCAACATAACAATAGAATAAAACAATATAGCAGCAATTCAACAATTAACACTCAGTTTCTGCATTACAACAATAAACCCAATAAAACCAATAAAGCCAGTTTCATCTAATTAATGCTCATAGTCCAAATTCCAATTCCACTTTGTCAGTCCTGTCAGTCCAGTTGTCTGATTGTCCTTATCTAATTGTCAGATTGCCCGAAGGCCTGGTCCCACAACCACGTTTTAATTTCCTCCTGAAGGAGAGGAGGGATGT